CTGAGGTGGTGCGGATATGCACGGAGATACTCTGGCGAGGAGAGCCGGGGGACCAGAGCTGGTGAGAGTCGACAGGAAGGAGCTGGTGTGCGTGGAAGCACGAAGGTACACTGGCGAGGAAAGCCGCTGATCCAGAGCTGGCGATAGTTGACAGGTTGGAGCCGGTGTGCGTGGAAGCACGGAGATACTCAGACGAGAGGTACGTGGCTGGATGTGGCAGGCAGAGGAGTAGGCAGATGGATTCTGACGGAGAACACAAGGGTTAGATTCGGCAGGAACACAGAGAGTTAGTTTTACCATAAACTACATGTACCAAGTCGAATTACCAGCGAGGTGAAACGACGAACTGGTGAATACTGGATGAGAGGACCGGGCATATAAGCAGGTGAAGGTGAGTAGTGTAATCAGGATGATGAGCAGCAGCTGCGGAGGTGAGTTGGCGGGAATCAGAAGTGGGTCAGCCACACCCAGCCAGGGAGACAGACACACAGACAGACAGAACGAACATAACAAACATAAAACAAAGAAGAGAAGAAGGAGGGAGATACTGTAAATCCTCACAGTACCCCCCTCTCCACGGGAGCCTCCTGGCGACCACCAGGCTTGTCAGGGTGTGCTCTGTGGAACTCCCTCACCATGACAGGGTCCATGATGCGTGACCGAGGCACCCAGCAACGTTCCTCCAGGTTGTAACCCTCCCAATCAACCAAGTACTGAAAGCCCCTGCCCCGGCGTCTGACATCCATAAGCCGACGCACGGTGTAGGCAGGATGATCATCGATGACTCGGGGGGGAGGAGGGGGAATGGTTGGAGGGCACAGGTCACTAGTGTGGACTGGCTTGATCTGGGAAACATGAAAGGTTGGATGAACCTTCATGGATCTGGGGAGTCTCAAGCGGACAGCAGAGGGGTTAATAATGCGCTCAATGAGGAAAGGCCCAAGGAACCGAGGGGACAGTTTCTTTGACTCGGTGAGGAGTGAGATATTTTTGGAAGACAACCAAACTGATTGTCCAGGGGTGTAATGGGGAGCGGCATGTCTGTGACGGTTAGCTGACCGTTGATTCCTGGTAGAAGTCCGGAGGAGTTCTGAGCGAGTGTCCCTCCAAATCTTACGGCACCGTTGAATGTGATGCTGGACAGAAGGAACTGCCAACTCACTCTCCTCCTCGGGAAACAGGGGAGGTTGGTACCCTAAGGAGGCTTCAAAAGGAGAGAGAGCAGTTGCAGAAGACGTGAGTGAATTAAAGGAATACTCCACCCAGGGTAGAAGGGAGCTCCAGGTAGATTGATTGCGATTGGCAACACAGCGGAGAGTAGATTCCAGGTCTTGATTGGCCCTTTCAGTTTGACCGTTTGACTGGGGATGATAACCAGAAGTTAGACTGACCGATGCACCAAGTGAATGACAGAAATTCTTCCAAACCAGAGAGATGAACTGAGGTCCACGGTCGGAGACGATGTCAGCCGGGATTCCATGCAGGCGGAAAACATGCTGGGTGAGAAGTTGACCGGTCTCCAGGGCTGAGGGAAGCTTGGGCAGAGCTACAAAATGGGCACATTTGGAGAAACGGTCTACAACTGTTAGAATAGTTGTGTTTCCTTGTGAGGGAGGTAGGCCGGTGACAAAATCTAGTGCAATATGAGACCAAGGTCGACTTGGGATAGGAAGGGGCTGGAGCAATCCTGCAGGTCTCTGATGAGAGGCCTTGCTCCTAGCACATGTAGTGCAGGCTGAAACAAACTCCTTAGTGTCCTTGTCAACTGTTGGCCACCAGAAATGTCTCCGGAGAAGAGAGAGTGTGCGGTTGGCACCAGGATGATTAGCGAAAAGGGAGCTGTGGACCCACTGCAGGACTTGAGAACGGACAGAGTTGGGGACAAACTGACGGTTTGGCGGACCACAACCAGGGTCCGGTTGCTCCAATAGCGCCTCCTGGATGGAGTTACTGATCTCCCAGGTGAGGCCACCCACAACACAGCTCAGGGGAAGAATAGAGTCAACAGACGTGACTGGTCCCTCAGACAAAAACGACCTGGACAGGGCGTCGGGTTTAGTATTCTTGGAACCAGGACGATAAGTTAGAGAGAAGTTGAAACGACCAAAGAAGAGGGCCCACCTGGCCTGTCGGGAGTTTAGCCGTTTAGCAGACTGAATGTACTCCAGGTTCTTGTGGTCAGTCCAAACCAGGAATGGCTGCTCGCTGCCCTCGAGCCAGTGTCGCCACTCCTCCAACGCCATCTTCACTGCCAGCAGCTCTCTGTTGCCCACATCATAATTTCTCTCAGCTGGGGAAAGACGGCGAGAGAAGAAAGCACATGGGTGAAGCTTATTGTCTGGCCCTGCCGTCTGAGACAAAACAGCGCCAACCCCGATGTCAGATGCATCTACCTCCACCACAAACTGCTTGCTTGAGTCTGGCTGGATGAGTATGGGGGCAGATGTGAACAAGGATTTGAGGAGAAGAAATGCCTTGTTAGCATCAGTAGTCCAGGTAAACTTGATCTTGACAGAAGTGAGACTGGAGAGTGGAGCTGCTACCTTGCTATAGTTCCTGATGAACCGGCGATAGAAGTTGGCAAAACCCAGGAACCTCTGCAGCTCCTTCCTAGTAGTGGGGACTGGCCACTCGGAGACAGCTAGGATCTTTCCTGGATCAGCCTCCAACTTGCCCTGCCTGATGATATATCCCAGGAAGCTGACCCGCTCCTGGTGAAACTCGCACTTCTCAGCCTTGACGAACAGCTTGTTCTCAAGCAGCCTTTGCAGCACCTGACTGACGTGGTCCTGATGTTCCTCCAGACTCGTGGAAAAAATCAAGATGTCGTCAATGTAAACGAACACGAATCGGTTAAGGAAGTCTCGTAGGACATCGTTAACCAGGGCCTGGAAAACAGCGGGGGCATTAGAGAGTCCAAAGGGCATGACAAGATATTCGAAGTGACCAAGGGGGGTGTTGAAAGCTGTTTTCCACTCATCTCCTTGGCGAATTCGAACAAGGTGGTAGGCATTCCTGAGGTCGAGCTTGGAGAAGATGGTGGCACCTTGGAGAGGTTCAAAGGCTGAGTTTATCAGGGGAAGTGGGTACTTGTTTTTAACTGTAATGTTATTTAGCCCACGAAAGTCAATACAGGGTCGGAGAGACTTATCCTTTTTGTCCACGAAGAAAAACCCAGCACCCAGAGGAGAGGAAGAAGGACGAATTATCCCAGAAGCAAGAGAGTCACCGATGTATCTCTCCATGGACTCTCTTTCAGGCCGAGACAGATTATAAAGCCTGCTGGTGGGTAAAGGAGCTCCAGGCAGCAGATTGATGGGACAATCATAGGGACGATGAGGAGGGAGAGAGAGAGCTTTCTCCTTGTTGAAGACCCCACTCAGGCTGTGATAAACTTCAGGAACACCAGACAAGTCAACTTCAGCAGAGACACAAGGAGCAGACTTAGGTTCGACAGGGACGGGAGGCACAGCAGACTGTAAACAGTGAAGGTGGCACGACTGGCTCCATTCCATGATTCTTCCTCCGGCCCAATCAATATGTGGATTGTGGGTGCGAAGCCATGGGTATCCAAGAACCAAAGGGGTTGCTGGTGAGGAAATAACCTTCAGTTGAATCTCCTCTCTGTGATTACCAGAAATAAACAGGGTTAAGGGTTGTGTCTGCTGTGTAACCTTAGAAATGCTTTTCCCATTTAAAGCATATGCTGTCAGAGGTTCTGTTAGAGTTTCCAAATGTAACCCCAGCTGTTTGACTAGTTCACAGTCCACAAAGCTATCCTCAGCTCCAGAGTCAACGAGAGCAGAAAGGGGCAATGTCTGAGCGTTGAAACAAAGTCTAGCAGGAATCAAAAAACGGCTCAAAATTGGGGCTACAATAGGTGTAGGAAGCGAACTCGTCAGGACCCCCAACTTTACTGACGAGCCCTTGCGTTTGGGCGAACAGGACAGCCAGAGAGGATATGGCCACCCTTTCCACAGTACAGGCATTCTCCACACCTAATACGTCGAAGGCGCTCCTCAGGGGATAATCCAGTGCGTCCCAACTGCATAGGTTCCACCATAGCAGAAGTGGGCACGCGGGTTGGTGAGGTGAAGCCAGATGGTCCGGACACAGAGGGAGCAAACCTGGGAGAACTGTTTGGCTGATAAGGCAAAGCAAAAGGAGGACGCTGCGTGCGCTCCGCACGGCGCTCCCGCAGCCGGCTGTCGAGACGAGAAACCCAGGAGATTAAGGATTGGAGGTCAGCAGGCTCCTCTCTTGCAGCCAGCTCATCCTTCAGTTGATCCCTCAATCCCCTAACAAACACAGCCCTTAAAGCCGCCTCGTCCCATCGGGCTTCTGCCGCCAGTGTGCGAAACTCGATGGAATAATCTGCAATGGTTCGAGTTCCTTGTTGCAGATTCAACAGACGATTAGCAGCTGAGCCAGAGTGTTCAGGATGATCAAAAACAGAGGAAAAATGATCCGAAAAAACTCCAAAGGAAAGTGTATTGTAATCCACAGAAGAACTCAATGCTTCGGCCCAGGTTAAAGCTCTTCCACGAAGCAAACTCAACATATAGTTAATCTTAGTTCCATCAGAGGAAAAAGACACGGGGCGCTGGCGAAATACCTTATTGCATTGAAAAAGAAATCCTCTGCATTTCTCCACCTCTCCGTGGAAAGGCTCAGGATCGGCAATGGGGAAGTCCCGGCATGGAGTGGAATCCACAGGTGGATAGGAGGAGGCAGGAAGTGTACCAGAAGACGTCAAAGCAGAGACCTGAGCAGCAAGGTTTGAGACGTTTAGAGCCATGGATTGATTGCTCTCCACTAAGGCTCGAATCATCTGCTCATGATGGCCCAGAAGATTTCCCTGATGGGAAATGGCGTGCTGAACTGAGGCGGGATCCGATCCGGCGTCAGCGGAGCTCATAGTGACCAGTTCGTACTGTTATGCTCACCGGTAGCTACAGGAGTGAACTCACAATGCTGAACACAGGACGATGAAACAGAGCTTTTGAGGTAGAAAAAGGTTTATTAACCAAAAACCTTATATAGAGTCAGACGAGGGATTAAATATCCAATAAACCCAAAGCCAGGGTTTGTTAACTGAGGTGGTGCGGATATGCACGGAGATACTCTGGCGAGGAGAGCCGGGGGACCAGAGCTGGTGAGAGTCGACAGGAAGGAGCTGGTGTGCGTGGAAGCACGAAGGTACACTGGCGAGGAAAGCCGCTGATCCAGAGCTGGCGATAGTTGACAGGTTGGAGCCGGTGTGCGTGGAAGCACGGAGATACTCAGACGAGAGGTACGTGGCTGGATGTGGCAGGCAGAGGAGTAGGCAGATGGATTCTGACGGAGAACACAAGGGTTAGATTCGGCAGGAACACAGAGAGTTAGTTTTACCATAAACTACATGTACCAAGTCGAATTACCAGCGAGGTGAAACGACGAACTGGTGAATACTGGATGAGAGGACCGGGCATATAAGCAGGTGAAGGTGAGTAGTGTAATCAGGATGATGAGCAGCAGCTGCGGAGGTGAGTTGGCGGGAATCAGAAGTGGGTCAGCCACACCCAGCCAGGGAGACAGACACACAGACAGACAGAACGAACATAACAAACATAAAACAAAGAAGAGAAGAAGGAGGGAGATACTGTAAATCCTCACACACTCGACCTGGGAATGTGCACAGCCCCACGGCACACCGGCTAAAAATAAAGAAACTCGGGCAGGACTACAAACGGCGGATTCAGTGGCCAACGATGACGACCACGACGAAGGTAAAATCAACTACATGCACTGGGGTTTTAATCTGCACAATAATGGTCTCAGATGTACTTTTATTTGCTCAGTAGATCAAGCTAGCCATGCTAGCCATAATAGGCTAACACCGGCCCCGAGCACACAGTACACACACACTGTAACTTTGTCTTGAAAGAACGTTACGCATCGAACTGATGTTCACAATCATGTTTATTTCATAATATTCATCATATTTTATGTTTAACTTGCCTCAACAACATTAAACAAAGTTCAAGCATACATGAAGCACTCTTCAAAAAGGAACAATCCTCCGTGTTTGAACCTCTTAAATCGCTGCATAGCCGATTTATTTGGACTGGATTATCCCAGAGGGTCTAAACATTCTTTATAACACAGTTTCAGATTTGTGAAACCTTAATTCTATTTGTGAAAATACAAAAAACACATTCCTAGTATGTTGTAAAACTACATGGCGACTAAACTTGTATATTGTATATTGCTTATTTTCCCCTCTTAGGAAAGCGGACACGGGATGCGAATTTCTTTGACACCGCCCAGGCGTTGGAGGACCGGCGTGCCGTGGTGAATGAGTCGCTGCGTGGAGATCAGATGGTGCTGTTCACCAAGGCCCAGGAAACGGAGGACAAGATGCTCACCTCGATGGAGCGCCAGGCAGAAGTGTTCAAGCAGCAGATGGAGCGCCAGCAGCACCAGGATGAAGTGTGGGCGCTGCGCCATGAGGAAGCGTCGGCGCAGCGGCAGGATGAGCGACAAACTGCATTTAATAACAGTTTATTTGGTATAGTTTTTGTAAATACTGACACACGACACACAACGTTGCACTAAGGTGTGCATGCTGCTGAGAATATCCCTACACCTGGGACAGTTTATTTTATATTGTTATTACTGTTATGACTTTATTTTATATATAATGTTTACTGACATGTACAACTGACACTTTATTTACATTTAAAATTGTTCTATTTAATGTTATGTCTTGAGAGTGCAATAAAGAAAACCGACATGGCGATTAAGCTTATTTCTCCTGACACTTTATCTTTTGTGACCTGTGTAGCATCCTATACATCACATGTAAGTGATTATTCTGATACCATCATGTTTCATCGGTTATAAACTGGCAAAGCTTTATTTGTCATTTATTTATCATCAATGTTGCAACCTTGTGGGGGAATGGCAGGGGCACATACACAAATATGATAATTTATATCATTTTAAATATTATTTGACCTAAACTTTTAATTCCCCCCCATTTCACACAACACAACATGGAGTCCACTATGGGCCAAAACTAACATGTATGTTTGCATAGTGTTTATGGCAGACGGATGCAGTGGGTCTCAGGAAGATATATAATAAAGGTGGGTTTGCTGCTGAGACTCCCTACAGCTGGGAGTTTATTTTATATTGTTATTACTGTTATTATATAGTACAACTGACACTTTATTTTATATTGACAATGTTTACTGACATGTACAACTGACACTTTAGTTACATTTAAAATATTTCTATTTAATGTTATGTCTTGAGAGTGCAATAAAGAAAACCGACATGGCGATTAAACAGATCCTGTATCAGTTTTTCTTCTTCTCTTGTTTTGTAGCGGGTTGCAAACAACTTTAAGGTGCTTACCGCCACCTACTGTACTTGTAATCTTCCCTCAGGGAAAAGTACTCCGGTGTGAACGCGATCTGTACTAAGTACCCTGGGGTTAAAAGCGCCAGGGCTCTTAGTGCCGGAACTAAGTACAGGAAAGTACTTGGTGTGAACGCGGCTATTGATGAATAGCCCAACAGGTAAGAGGGAAATTTGTATTTTTTAAATGCTATTGGCAATCCCATTATAGCTTCACCTTTACTTTGTGTTTAGTGCTATTATGTACATTTTCTTTGGAAATATTATCATGAGGTTGTATGGGACTCAAAGGTACCCGTTTGTATCCACATGATTTGGTTCAAATTTGTATGTTGTGTTTTATAATTTATCGATGTAAATTGGCGTGGTTTGACTAGGATTCATCTTCTGGGAACTATGTCTGTAGAACTATATTTGCCAATTTGCCATGTAGATGTTAATATATTTTACTGCATAACTAAAACATTTAACCTGCTGGTGGAGCTATAGGAAAATTCAGGCCCGAAAAACGTTCCTCGAACTGTTGATGTTGGATTATGACTGTACGGTAATATGGCCTCATTTATTGACTGGTTAGTTACCAGAAAATGTGTATTTTCTGTCAAGATTTTACTCTACAGTGATTTGTCCGACATTTAAAATGTTCTAAATCTTTATTCTGGTCTTAAATCTCTCTTATTTATTTGGAAAAACTTGCATGTTGACTGAAACGACCAACCATTGCTGTAATGGGATTTCTCAAGATTGTATAACCCATATACTGTAAATTCTACTGGTGTAATTCAACTCTCTCCAGTTGGGTTACCCGAACTCAGAGTATACGGATACACCAATAACTGATTTGATAAAAGTTATTTTCTTTTTTCGAAATGTGTAATATGTATGCTATAATGCTGGAACTCAGATTGGACTCTAGCAACTGAGTTGGTAGCCTACTGTGAATGTTACTGAACATTTCAAATTAAACTCCTACTATAGATTGGTTTTGAATAACCAAAACGGCTTAGTAATGTCAGCATCAGTCATAACATATACTGTATCAACCTGTGATTCCCAACTCTTCACATGGGGACGTTTTACTTTTCAATGGGTGGCAATAATTATGGCCGCAACCGTTTTGTGGTCTAGGTGGTTATTTCAAACAAAAACGCTTAGTTATACTTTGGGAACCCACAGCACAACTAGTCAGATGGATAAAGAGCACTTCAAGTAAGAGGAAACATCTGTATATTTATTTTGGGAGTGAACTGTCGATTTAACAATCTTTGGATTTTATGAGTTTAATTTCTTTAGTTTCAGAAAAGTTAACATGAGCCTGTTGTGTGTCTTGATCCATGGATTGAACAAAATGAGCTTGTGATCAGCAGCATGACCATCCCCTAGTGTGTGTGTGTGTAGTTTGGGGGGTATCCTGGTTACACACACGGTTACCCGAGCTGCCTCTGCCTCTCTATATATAGACCTGTCCTATCAGGCTGACTGAGCAAGTTAAAAATAGCTCTGCACCATGCTTCACACTGTGTGTCTTTTCCCCTCACACACAGACAAAAACATACTACCAACCACTTTTCCCTGTCTTCAACTTCTCTGCACTAGGTGTACATTTTAGCACCTCCAATCACTTCACACCCCCCTCTTTTTGGTGTTCTGCCTACTGAGACCCCATTTACACGCAAACGCAAACGCATACGAAACGAATACGATATCAAAAAAGTCTTCCGTTCACACGATACCGCTCGGGAGCGCTGGAGATGCTGAAGTACATATGCCGGGCCTGTAAGTGGCGCTGTACTTCCGCACGAGACCGCTCGGGAGCGCTGGAGACGCTGTAGTACATATGCCGGGCCTGTAAGTGGCGCTGTACTTCCGCACGAGACCGCTCGAAAGCGCTGGAGACGCTGTAGTACATATGCCGGGCCTGTAAGTGGCGCTGTACTCCCGCCACAAAATACACCAAAAGCAGCGAAGAAGCATGGTTGCCATGGTTGCCCTTCTGTGTATGCCCCACGGTGGATTTAGCAACATGTAGTTCATGTAATTCTCCATGTCCACTTGTTGCTGATGGTTGTGGTAGAGGAGCTGTAGATTTTGCACTAACATCTGTAGCATGGTCGAGCTGTAGATTTTGCACTAACATCTGTAGCATGGTCAGTAGCAGTAGCAGTAGCTACTGACAGTAGCTACTGACCATGCTACAGCAGTGAGCAGCAGATTTGGGGAGAGGTGGGGCTATGGCTTCATCGTTATCAGGAAATTATCGTATAGGGCGTACACACGGAGCCGTTTGTCCCCCCAGAGCGTTTCGTTTGCAGATCTATCCACCTTGGGACCCGTTATCGTTTGCGGGGTCCGTTTCCGCGTTTCTGTTAAGGCCTCGTGTGAACAAACAGGCTATACGAAAGAGAAAAGTAGCGGATACAACCGTTTGCGTTCTCTTGTAAACAGCATCTGAGCATACAGCTTCAAGTGTGAGAGGGGGAGGAGAAGGGGGAGTGTTTGGTGGCAGAGTACATGAGGCTTTATGGGTCACATGGTAGTGGCTGCATCGGAGTGCACCTGCTCGTAATGACGTAAATGCATCTGAAGCGCTGGTCAAGTGTGAGGTTGCACACTAGATCCTGTGAAGGTCTGACGAGGTAAAGGGGTTGTAAAAATAAACATTAGTGGACAAGTTGTTTTAATTAGGGCATTAATGAAATAGATCAGGACACTTTCTTGATGCCTATATGGCATTCAAATGGCCGTTAATGCAACAAAGGTAAAATGTGTCAATATTGGGATGTTTGCGATAATTCCAAAACCCGGGGTTTGCATGTTAAAAATGCCCTTGCAGATGATTCGGAATGCTATAAAATTGAATTATCTTTTCTTTAGGACAATGCAACATCCTTTCTCCAGGTTCATGAAAATGGACGTTTATAATCCTTCTGAAAGATAGCAAGTTTAGATTGACAAAACAAGACATTTGCAGCGACAATGCTAGTAGCCAGAGGATGAATCTAGAATGTTCCCTATATTTTCCTCTAACATCCCCTGCAAGTGAAATGCTTTACTTATGCAGTAAAATATAACAAAACCTAGTTGACAAATTGGTGCATACAGTTGGGCATTCATGGTTCCCAGAAGATGAACCCTAGTGCTACCATGCTAATTACTTCCATAAATTATTAAGAAACATGAACATTTGAATCAATT